TGTTATGTCAAGGGTGAAAAGATGAGCAGAAAAGGACATGTGGGTATCAAAGACGGGAGGAAGCAAGAGTCTGATCTAAGTGTCTGTGAAAGAAATGAATGATGCTGCGTTGCTTTGACAAAATGTTTCCTTCAAACCATTTGGCAAAGAGTCAAATGAGGAGATGAAATTTAACACATTAAGGAGCACTCCAGCCAGATACAAACATTAGAGACAGCCTATGATTGGAAGAAGGAAATTGTTGATTAATGCTAAAGTCTGAACACCACAATATCATAGGAGATGTAGAGCTGGGTGTCATCGGAATGATTGCTTGCTTCCTTTAGTGACTGGTCTCCAGGACTTAAGGTCTTCTCTCATTCTGGGGAATATGCAGATTGCTTGCTTTCTTTGGTGACTGGTCCCCAGGACTTAAACAAAGGATTCATTTGAAATCTGTTTTCACAGACGTAAAAATACTGCCTGAATCACCTGTCCTCCCACATGAATTGTGCTTTCAGTTCTAATTACGGGCTATCTCTAATGTCTGTTTCAGCCTTCAGAGGGACATCAGAAAATAGTCCATATTGAAGCCCTAGTTGAATCTTGCAAAGAGAGGTTGCACTGGGAAAATACATCATATGCTTTAACTTGGATTATATATTTTAACTTGGATCCTTGCACTGAGCAGGGGTTGGACCTAATGGCCATATAAGGCCCTCCCAACTCCATTATTCTATGATTTGATGAATAACGAAGGAAGTTGCCTTTTAGCAACAAGCCAGAAATGGTCCAGCGAGAACTCCTAACCTGTTGTGCAGCTACTAGGTTAGGTTTGCTTGTGGGTTTGCATAATCAGACGAAGGGCATTTATTGGATGTAGGGCCCTTGTAACTGGACCCATCTCGGACTGCAGAAAAAGGAATTTTTCTCTTTTCTAGGTGGGACAACTGCACTCAAACGATGCCACATGGAACCTCCCCAACATAAAGTATGACAAGTTACAGGTGTGCCAAGGAAATTGCCCCCCCCATGGAATGGAAGCGCTTTGGACGGGTGCAGAGGTGAGTATTTCTCGGTGCCTTGTGCATCCATTGCCAAGAGGAACAAAGATCCGAATGCTGCAGGTCGGGATGATCAAAACACCACGGCAGATGATTCATGGCAAGGTAAAAGAAATGGACTGACATTTCTAGAATCCGGTTGCGTGAATGATGATAAAGTGCCCCAGCCAAACCATAGGTGAGCATAGATTCTACCTTTTATTTCCTCTTTTTTTGTAGCCAATTTACAGGTTGCAATAATAACAGAGCCATACCCTTCTCAGTAAGGAAGTGCGGAAGCCCTGCCCCATTCCTCTGGCTGGCTCCTGCTGGCGAGTGGCGTGGAGCAAGGAGAACAGGTGGAGGGAAGGAGCAGTAGGCAAAGAACCGGCTGGGCGAAGCAGCCACGGAGCGGAGCAACAGGAAAGCGGGCCGTGCGAATGATGACAGGAAGGCTGAGAAGGACAATGTCTAGGATGCTGGGAAGACGTGATGGGTTCGCTATCATCATCATCATCAATTATTATTATTATTATTATTATTATTGGTATTGTGTTGGTGTTGGTGGTGTTGTGTAGGCGTTGTTATTGTTATTTTGTTATTATTGTTATTGTTATTGTTTTGTTGTTGTTATTGTTGGTGGTGTGTTGGTGTGTTCTTATTGCTATTTTGTTGTTATTGTGATTATTGTTGCTGTTGTTGGTGGTGGTGGTGTGTTGGTGTGTTGTTCTTATTGTTATTGTTGTTGTGTTATTGTTATTGTTATTATTGTTGTTGTTTTGTTGTTGTTATTGTTGGTGTTGGTGTGTTGGTGTTATTGTTGGTGTTGGTGTGTTGGTGTTATTGTTGGTGTTGGTGTGTTGGTGTTATTGTTGGTGTTGGTGTGTTGGTGTTATTGTTGGTGTTGGTGTGTTGGTGTTATTGTTGGTGTTGGTGTGTTGGTGTTATTGTTGGTGTTGGTGTGTTGGTGTTATTGTTGGTGTTGGTGTGTTGGTGTTATTGTTGGTGTTGGTGTGTTGTTGTTGTGTTGTTGTTATTGCTATTTTGTTATTGTTATTGTTGTTGTTGTTGTTGGTGGTCTGTTGTTGTTATTGTTGTTATTGTTATTATTGTTGTGTTGTTATTGTTGTTGTTGCTGTTGTTGTTGTTGTTGTGTTGTTGTTGTTATTTTGTTGTTATTGTTGTTGTTGTTTTGTTGTTCTTGTTGCTATTATTGTTATTATTATTTGCCTCCTACAAAGATAGCAGAGATCCCCGAGAGGCATTAGGGCTCCCATGATGGATTGGTTGCGGTTGCAGTTCTCTGGTAGGAAGGATCTGGGTGGTTGGAGGACAACAGGCTTGATTGCCTCATGCTGCTATAATGCGATTAGTCAGGAGGATGGAGAGAAAGGGAGGACAGCCCGTTGGCGGGCTCGAGGGAGCGGGGTTTTCACTCCAGTCCATAGGCGGGGCATACGAAGGGAGGAGATGCAGGGCAGGGCCTCAGATTGTATTGGTCAGCATTCCTGGACGTAGCGGTGTGAGGACCAAGGACCAGTGGGTGGCGAGTGGCGAGGAGAGGAAGCAGTGGAAGAAGACGCACTGAGACAAAGCAACCGCGAAGCGGCGCGATTAGGACAGCAGGGACCGAGAGCAGCGACAGGGAAGCCGAGAAAGACAGCGTTTGGGATGACAGGAGGAGATGAAGGGATTGTTGTCATTTTATTACCTACTGTAGGGGGCCATCTTAGGATTCTGTGAACAAAAAAGAGATGATTAACGGCATATAGACATAAACCTCTGGGGTATGGGCCTATATATCCAAAAGAGGAAAGGCTGAAATTGTGCGCAGGGATGGGTGGTCTCGGCAATCTTGAGAGACGTTAGGGCTGCCATGATGGATGAGTTGCAGCTCTTGTTCTCTGTTGGAAAAGGAGCCTTGCCTAGCTCTAGTGGCAGTCTGGATCAATGGTATGGATCCGGGTGGTTGAAGGGCAGTCGGTGGAGACCGGTATGTCCTTGATGGCGGTGGAATCCCTTAAAGGGAGCCAGGAAATCCAGTAAAGAGGGAGCCAGGGATTCCAATAAAGGGGCCATGAACTACTCTCGCTCAGTCCTGCGCTTGCCCTTGAGTGGCAGGGAGCCACAGAGTGGTACATGCCTGCGTGGCCTTCAGAGGTCTGCAATTCCAGGTGCTCTTCCAGAGCAACTTGAAAAGATGATGTCTTCCCTCAGGAGCATCCAGGCTGGTGGATTTGAGGAGCGGAGCTTTCCCGCTAGTCTGCCAGGACAGCATTAAAAAAGGGGGGGAGGAGACGCAAGGCAAGACCTCAGTTTGTTTCTGTCCACGATGCTGGATGGAGGGGTGGTAGGACCATGGAGCGGCGAGGGACGAACCGCAAGAAGTGGACGCGGAAGAGGCACCGAGGCGAAGCACGGAGGCAAAGCCACGGTGAAGCGGAGCAACAGGACGGCGGGCAGTGAGAGCAGCAACGGGGAAGCTGAGAAGAAGAGCATTTGGGAAGTCAGGAGGTCACCGTCCGCTTGCCGCCATTTTGTTGCCTCTTGCGAGGGCCCCATCTTGGACTATGGTGTGTTGCCTCTGTGGTCACAAGGCTGAAGTCCTGTGCAGGGGTGGGCGGGCTCGGCCATCCTGGGAGACAGTAGGGCTGCCATGATGGGTGAGTTGGCGTTGTTGCTCTCCGGTGGGAGCTGAGCCTTGTAGAGATCGTTTGGGAGTTTGGAGCATTGGGGTGGATCCCGAAGCTTGGAGGACAGCCGGCGGGAACCTGCGTGTCTTGGTTGGTATGGAATCCCTTTAAGGGGGAGGCAGGGCTGCGGCCATGAACTGCCTTAGCTGGGGGTGTCTGGATCCTGCCCTTTGGGAGATGGAGCCACAAGAGTGGTCTCCAAAGGTCTGCCCTTCCAGGTTGTCCTTCAGAGGGATCTGAGAAGTGGGGTGGCATTCAGGGCTCTTGTTGAACTGGATCTGGTCCCAATGCTAGGCGAGATGATGTGTGTGTTGGGGGGGGTGTTTATTCCTAGGACTGTGCCTGCTAGGCCAACAGGAATGCACCTGGGGCCTGCTTTCTGGCTGGGGCGGCAGCCTGGTGTCCGGATCTGGCCCACACCACCCTAGCAGCTGCAGGATCAGGGGCCAGCCTGACCCAGGAGTGGCCTGGTGTTTGCAGGATCAGGCCCTGGCCTCTGTAGCAGCTGTTGGGCCACTCATGAGGCTCACCTGGCAACCTGGAGGGAAGGCCTATTTAAGGAGTGGTTTTTCCGTCCCCGAACTTGCCTTGGCAACAAAGGTTTTTGGGCTGTGCTTTGCTGCTCCTGAGCGCTGCTGTCCCTGCGTTCCAGTGTTCCTGCCTTGATCTCTTTGCCTGCCTCTGGCATCTCTGTGTCTGGATTCCAGTGTTCCTGTACCTGTTCCTCCCCCTGCCTTGGTCCTTGCTTCCTCCTGCTGGTCTCCTGTATCTTGGCCCCTTGTTCCGGCTCCCTGTTCCCAGTCCAGCAACCTGGCTCCCAGCCCGGTGCTCTTGCCTCTGTTTGGTCACAACTAGCTGTGTAGTGAGTGTCTTTGGACTCGATGCCCTGCGTGGCAGATGGGTTCTGTGTGCCTTTGTCTGTGGTGAGAGGCTGCCTGGGAGACCTTGGACGTTGACCCCTGGTTTTATGTCAGTGTGGTTGTGGAATCCCGGCAGGACAGGTCTATGGGGCAGTGCTATCTCAAACCCTGGGAGCGTGAAGCCTGGTCAGGTTGAACTGGCAGACTATGATTTGCTAGCACCATCCGGGGCAAGGAAGACTGCTGGCTAGGGGACCTGAGGGGCAGAGTTTTCCCTCCGGTCTGCCAGCGCATAAGAAAAAGGAGGGAATGCGATGCACGGGGCCTCTGTCCGTATTTATCTGTGTTTCTGGATGGAGCAGCGGTGGGACCACAGAGCGGCGAGTGGCGAGTAGCAAGCAGAAGTGGGGGAAGAAGAGGAAGCAGAGCAACAGGACGGTGAGAGCATGACAGGCAAGTGGAGAAGGACAGCATCTGGGACGTCAGGAGGACAATCTGCACTCGCCAACATGTTGTTGCCTCTTGTGAGAGTTTCTAGTTTCCTTGCAGAGTTTGTGAGAGGAGATGGAAGAGAGAAGAGTTAACGGCAGCACGGCTAAGAAAGAAGACTAAAGGTGATCATCTAGATGACATATCCATTTCTTAAAAGATTCTCCGTCATTTGACAGTGAATGATTTTGCATTTTGTTTGCATTTCAGGTTTGCTTGTGGAAGGCATAGTACCAGACAACGATAGGGCTTGAACACATCAGATGAGTAGCAAAGGAAAAACAGCTATTACTATGACTTCACATAGGATTGGGTTGATAGGACTATTATGAATTCCACCATATCCAAAGACAGTCATGAGGAGGTAAGTATTTCAGCTTCTGCGTCGGCCTGTTTGGATTGCAAACCTGTCTTCTCTGTTCCAATTCATTGAGCAGGTTCTGGCCATCAGTGATGAGAGTGGGCGTAGAAGAGACTGGGAAACCTCATGAGTAAGTAATGATTCCTGAGTCACGATGTTCTTACACAAAAGCTTTATTTCACAGCCATCTTCTAATCTGGAGGAGAACGGAAGCACCCTCCCGGACAAACGAGACAGCAAAACATATCTCACAAGGAGATCAGTGACAATGATACAAAGGACCCTCCATGTATGAGCTCTTTCTGTTGCAAGGAGTGTATTTTGGTAACAATCTGGAAAGCAGGTTTATGATGGAACCATGATAGCTACCATAACAATTCAGAGTGCTGCTACACAGCAAGGGAAATGTGAATTTACTCACATCCACTTGCTGTGAAGTCACACCAGGGGATCCAAGTCTGTTCAATTTAAGTAACTACACAGGGAGACAGAAGAAAAGCTTTGTTTAGTCCTTGTTTGAAACTCGATAGGAGGCACAGTTAAAAGGAACTGCCTATCAAGCTGTAACAAGGGTTTCCTCCTCTCATTTCCTCCTCTTGTTAGCTGTGTGTGTGTGTTTACGTCCCTTAGTGCATCTGTACTGGCACTTTGATAATATTTCCTGGTCCTGCAATGCAGGAAAAAAGCATCTTCCTGAGAGAGGCTTTGCTTGCCTTCAGAAAAAAAAGTATGTGAAGACTTTCCAAGAAAGGCCTTATTTTATGCTAGGAAGGAAGGGAAGGAGAGAAACGGAAAAGAAAGGAAGGAGTTGGTGGTCTTTGCTTGCTTTTCTTGACTGTGAGCCGGCACAATGACTTTTCTGCATTGGTTCAAGAAATCTCATGGCTGAATCATTGTGAATTGATAAGAAGCCCCAGCAGTGGAGGGGAAAAGTAGATGGGGAGGGGGGAGAGACTCCAGGCTGATTCTCATTTCCCTTTGCATTGTGTAATTAACATAAAAAATGCAAATCATGCTGCCCCAAATCCATAGCACAGAGTGCATTAAAGGATAGCCATAGAACTAAGAATGCAGGTGCATTGTGTGTGGGGGGTAGTAGCAGTAAAAAGTGGTTTAGCCACGGTCATTGCCAATGGATTGGAAGGATCTGGCCCTTGTTGCCATGCCCAGGGTAATACTGATCGCCGCTTCCGGGGTCGGGAAGGAATTTTCCTCCAGATCAGATTGGCCAGAGATCCTGGAGGTTTTTCGCCTTCTTCTGGGCATCCAACATCGGTTATACATATTAATCTTATATGGATTTTAGAGTAACAACATATTTGACAACTGAACTCGTCAAATAACAATACCATCTTAACAGAAAATTAATAAAAATCACCAATCAGACTTCTGCCTCTGTGTTTTTTTTCCATTGGTATTATAAGTAGGTGGTTGATAAACCTTACAAGAGAAAGGCTTCCTCTCTACTTAGGAGGCATGATGCTTATGATGATTAAATAATGTGCATTCATGGGGAGCGCCTTCCGAGGAGAGACGCAGTGGGGTGGGAGTAGATTCCGCTCTCTTTATGGATTACAGATTCCACCATTTGGCGGCTGTACTGAATACTGGGATTTGTAGTCCAAAAAGGCAACTTTCTCAAAATCTGGGTCGGGAGGAGAGTGCGGAATCTCTTCCCCTCAAGGCCATTTTGCCTCCGAGAGCTTGCTTGCGCAACCAACAATAAATTTGTCCAGAGAGGAGTTACCTTGGAGGAGAATCTACCGAGGGAAGTGTAGGGTGAGGGGAAAGTTAAGCCACCCGGCTTCATTTCCAGTAGGGGCTGGGAAAATTTCAAGACTAGGGACCCGTATCTCATGATGTAGTGGTTGAACCTGTCCTTCAGCCTACAGACCTAAGGCGAAGCAACATCAGTCAGGAGCTGCATTAGGAGCACTATAGCACAGTGCACAGCTTGGGCCGCTCTCATCTCTCACAGCCTTGTGTGCGATGTCTTGAGTCACACCCAAAACAGTTTGTTCTTTTGTGCCTCCTGCTTGGACAGCCTTGCCAGTGTTATTCAACACGCAATCCTTATTTTGCAACAAGACAGCAGTGACCTGTATCTTTCAGAAACCAGTAGAAGAGAATATTTCACAGCTATGGCTTCTCATACAAGAGCGTGATAAATTGGCAGGGTCCCTCTACAACATAAAACTTAAAGGCAGTAAGGACTACAAGGACGTAGAGTTGTGAAGTCAGCAGCTCTCTCAGTATATTGAGGCAGCTGAGGGAGGACGGCTGAAATGTGGGCACCGTGGACAGCTGCATGTTTGTTCTGCAGAATCACCTGTTGATCCTTAAGACGATGGATGCATCTTCTCGGTCTGATGTCAAAGTTTGGACCATTCTGGCCTTCGGTTGACCCTTCTAGGAACCCAGATTGAATCCAGCCTCCTGATTATACTGTTCTTACCTTCCTTGACACATTCACACACCCTCAAAAGGTTAGGACAGCTAATCTACCCATCTCTCACTCACTCGCGCGCACACACACACACACACACACACAGAGGGGAGGGATGGAGGGGACTGAAAGTGTCGCAAGGGAAATCCCAATAAATGGGCCCAGAATTGGGGCAAAACATGGTTAATAAGGTAAAGGTCTGAGCCAGATACACTTTTTTTTTGGCAACCAGACACCTTGCAAAAGCGTCTCCAGTAGCCGCAACAGTTAATAGTACTTCCTCAGTACATTATCTATAGCACACATGACAAGTGGAGAATTTCTTGGGATCCTATATTGCTGGTGGGGCTTGTTGGGA